TTTGTTCTGTTTCAGTATCTCTAAGGAGCTAAGACAAACCAATAATAAAAGAGTCCTAATTTAGGAGAGTGTCTCATTAGTCATGTAAATAAAGAGCAGCTACACTAAGCCTATTTCATTTAAATAATAATACAAAGGCTTGATACTGATCTGGTTTATGCACAGACTCCAAAGTGCTTTCCATTGACAGACAGAGAGCATCCCTCCGTGTTTGGGAATGGGAAAACAAAATTGCACCGAGGTTTGCCCAGGGCAGTGAAGAAAAACACAGCCAGAAGAGGAATACAAACCATCACTCCTGGCTCCAGTACATAAAGCAAGGAGAATACATATGTGCCAGCAGTAATATTCATGTTAATGAATAGGCAGCAATCTGTTTAAAATTGCTTCTTTCATAAAGCCCATTTGTCAGTAGACCAGCTTAGCTGATCCAACTGCAGCAGATTGTATTTGTATTATCACAGAGACATTTGGGGGAGGTCAGCCCATAATACTGTAGCATATTGTTGGCTTTCACCTTCTTTGATGAAATTTTTTCTTTTCCCCAAAGGAAATAATTTTAAAATCCTCTGAACCGATTTCTTTATCTTTTCAGTTTTTGCATTTAAGGAAAGACAATTATTACCAGCCAGCACTTTAATATTATTTAGTATAAAAGGAAGTGTGTCCTGCCCAGCACACAGAAGAGATGTTTTAAATTGATGCAGGCTTTCTCTTAACTTTACATGAGGGTGTTAGTAATTATTCTCCTTACTCTAAATCTTTAGTATTATTTCAAGTTGAAGGTCATATTTGTGAAAGGCTTGAGAAAGATAACTCTGGAACTTCCTGATTTCCATGGAGCCGCTGAACATTTGATTCTTCCAAAATTCACTGCCAAAATGAACCTCCCTGCAGCCTGAGACAGACTGGGACCATCCTTGGGCAGGAGAGCCTTGAAGTGTGGGCTTCTACAGCTCCTGCAGGCTTCCATGTGATGGAAGAGGGTCCACATGCCAAGAGACAGAAAGGATGCTCCTCCAAAGAAAAGTCCAGTCTTTCCAAGATTGTATGGGAAGTGCCTGACAAATGATCTCCTCTGCAGTGAGCAACTTCAGTGAATATCACAAACATTAACTGAACAAATCAATGATCACAACTAATTGTGGAGCAGGGGTGAAAACACCAGCATCTTGTTCACAATGGAGCCCGTTCCTGTCCCATGGATGTTGGTGAGGGGGAGCAGCAGCTGTGTTCTGGGGTTGTGCATTTATTGCTCTTCCAGAACAGCCTGTGCAGGGAGCTCCTGGCTGATTCTGTCCATGCAGGCTGGGGGATTCCTGCTTGCCCCATCCAGCTCTCCCCTCTGACCCTCAGAGGGACAACATTGCCTTTGAAGCATGGGCCAGCCCTTGTTCCAGGTCACTGCAGAAACTCTGACCAACACATGGTGGCCCCAAGGAAGGAGGAGCTGCAATGTGGTGCCCCTGCACCCCTGCTGGAGATTCACACCCCGTGGGACTTCACAGCCTGTCCTCCAGAGCTCACAGCTCCTGTGTCTTCCTCACCCTGCCTGTGGTTTTACCACTAATGCAAGCTCATTTCCTGCTGGTTCTTTCAGTTGAGGCATGGCCACTGAAAAAGGTCAGCTGGATTTGAAATGTGAGCAGCGAATTCAAGCGGGATCCTGAGGTTTGGGTGAATGACCTTAAGAATCACTGTCTTCAAATCTGGTGCTTTACTGGGTCAGCCAAGTTTGATTCCTATTGCTGATGGCACTCTCAGCTGTAGTTTCTGGGGTGACTGCAAATTGAGGTGGTACCAAGCTGTGTTTATGGAGAGCTGTTTTGTCTCTGAGCTGGCAGGAACCCGCAGGGCCAGGTGAACACTGAGATATTGAATTCTGCAGCTCCCTAACTCTCACTTTGATCTGCACTACCTGCTTGGTTTGATTATCTTCACACCTTTCCTAGCTTCACAAGCAGGCTTTTGTTCAGAAACAACATCTGAGTCATGGCCATTCTTGTGAAAAACCTCTTTTTAGATAATCCAGGTCAAGAGTGCACATCTAAGAGTTCTTTTTTTTTTTTTTCCCTTCATTATTCATTTGTTTAAAAAAAGCCTCACATCCAACAGTGGGGAAAAAATGTTACAAGACTCAAGTGAACCTTGAGACACTGTAGGAAATGAATAGCAAACACCTGACTCATGAAAGTCTGTCAACTAATTAGTGTTCATCAGACTCCTCAATAAAGATTTAAAAATAAAAGACATGCTTGCATAATTCAGGATCAGATTGGAAACAATTTCTGATTCTTAAAAAGAGCTAAGTTTGCTCATCTGTCTATTTAAAACAAGCAACCAGACCTAAGCATATGCATTTTTTGGAAAGAATTTGGATGCTAACTGAAGAGGAGATAAAGAAAATGAATCAGTCTGGAAAGCTATTGCAGAACTACTCCTTTCTACTCCTTTGTTACCTGCAAACTCACCTCAAAATTCACCTGGAATCAAAATACTAAAAATCTTATTGCAAATGCTCTCCAAGGTTGTGTGACAAAACTGTAAGTTTTTTTCAAAGTTCCCAGTGGTTTTTAAATTTGATTCTACGGAGCCAATGGCCAAATGCCTGTGAAAGCCTGGCTGAGCAGGGCACTGCCTTGACAGGGCTTCAGCCCTGAGTTCTGGGCCCAAACTGCACCTGGTCACACAATGGAAGTGCAAGGACTGTGCTCCTACTCCAGCTTTGAGTGCAAGGTAAGCTGAAAAAATAAAAAAAACCGAATCCCAACAAAAATAAGAAGGAATAAAAAAGAAATCCTGCAGGTTTTGTTGTTGTAGCCAAACCATGACAAGGAGATCCCTAGGACTGGTCATTAGCACTTCTGATGGATTTTAAGCCTTCCAGGGCTGGGGGCTGAAAAGTTCTGCTGCCCCAGCATGGTAATGCTGTTTGTAGTTTGTAGAAACACTGCAGGGATGAAATCTCTGTCTGCTGGTGGTGTTTTGTGTCTTTCCCCTTCCTCTCTCACTGCTCCAAGGAGGTGGGATTCAGAGGGGCTCCATCCCAGGCTTGGTGCCTTCAGGTGCACAGCAGCATCCTTCTTCCATGCCATGAGAATTCAGGATACCCAGCCCTAGCATCACACCCTGCAGGTATCCAGGGAGAATGAATGCTCTCACCCTTGCAGGACTCTGCATTGCCCCTAAACTCCAACTGTCAGAGTCCTAGAGGTGCTGAGTGAGCTCTGTCCTGGCTCAAAGGACAGCAGGACAAGGCACAAATGCTGTCATTCACTGCTGTCCCTAAAATGTCATCCACCACAGGTTAAGGCTGGGAGAATCTAAAAGATATAATCAACATTTGCAGTTTGTGCACCAGTTTTCAGTAAGGGATTGGCTGCTATTTCTCAATACTAGGAGATGGTGAAGAATGAAGATTTTCATCTTCACTTGCCAAATTAGCAACATCTCTAAAATTCTGCATCTTCTATGAGATCTGCAATGCCACCATCTGACACGGGAGAATGGCTGAAGCCTCATCTCCCTGTCTTGACTCTTCTCCATCAGCTGCTCTATGCAAGTCCTTGTTCTGTCTCTCTGTCTCACAACTTCAAGCTGCTTTGCTATGTCATTCCTGTGTGTTTCTCACCCAGGGATTTGCCACCACTAACCTTCATCCTTTTCCCCCTCAGCACTGGCCACACAGAACATGCACGTGGCAGCCTAATGAATTTTGGCTTCCTTGGACCCTGGGGTAGCTCCACTGCTGGCTAACAGGATTTTAGACACACCAGGGTGGCTTTCAGATGCTCCTGATGACCCAAAGGTTTAAAAAATCAGTATAGTCTAGCCAACATTGTAAAGAGTCTGGGGAACCAACACAGCCTACAGACACTTTGGGCTGCAGTTGTGGGCACAAAGGTTTCCAGTTCCTGTGGAAGGGAAGTTACCATATTTTTTGGCCTGGTGTTCTTAACAGTAAAAGTGAAATACTTGAGAAGAGCCTGATTCTGATGCCTGAGGTACTGCTACTGATCCTGCCTGATCCTCCTCATCCTAATGGAGACAGAGTATTTGTCAATGGTTAAAGCATCCTGGACAAAGAATGATGGAGCTGGGAGTGGGAGTTATTATTTCATACTGGCATTTCATTCAGTTGAGGATCTAATTGAGGGGATGTGTCAGGGGGTGTTTGCATGACACATGGAAGTACTTTAAGTGCAGGCACAGCCCGTGGGTTCTGCTACTACCCAAAAGCAGCTCAGATCCCACTCTGAACCTCCACAGCTCAGCTCTACAAAGCTGTCACAAATCTCATGGTTGGCACAAACCAGACTGCTGAACTTCCCTCCTGCTGCCTCTTTGATGTGGGCAGCTGTGGAAAGACCTTGGGCTTTTGCTCTTATTTCAGCAGGTGCAGGTTTGAAGTCCTAGAAAAAGAAATGGACATTTGCTTTCCTGGTCACCTCTCCCTCAGCTTTGTTCTGCCTGTTGCTAGAAACAGCACAAACACTAGGGAAGGAAAAGAGCTTAAAACAGGGCTCCCTGTCTAACTGAAACCCTTTGATGGAACAACAACATAAGTGCAAATCTCAGCTGCGCTGGTCCCAAGACATCACAAACCATCAGCATAGCAAGTTGCATTTTTGAATGCATCAATATCTTGTCTTTTAGCATTTAATGCGAGACATTACAAACTAATGAAGAGGAGAAATGTATGCAGTGTTGCTGTAAACCAAATATACAGATGTAAAATAATTAAGAATAAACTGTTCCATAAAAATGCATGTCAATAAACCCCCGTCTGATAAAGTGATTTATGAAGAATTTTCTAGAATTGCTAAAAAGAATGATTTCTCGTTTGAGGCTCTGGAAGTCTTGAGTCACATTTTGTTTCTTTTAAAAAAATGTCTTAAAACACATGGCTTTACAGCTGCTGCTTGGAAAATATACACCTCCAAAGTCTGACTTTCATTTAAATACAAATGTACAAAATGTAAACTGAGACAATAGAGAAATTTACAAAACTTTTCTTTAAAAATAATAAAGACAAAATTCAGTTCTAGTATGATGCTATTTAAATACGTGCAAGTAGTCATGTTCATTGAATTTCTATTGCAATGTTCTAAAGAGACAAATTTGATTCACACAGTCTTGAGTGCCACCTCCAAAAACAGACCTGAGTGGAAATTTCTTCTTAAAATGTGAGGCTCCACTGGAAGGAATGGATGGAAAATCTCCATTTTGGGAGATCCAGATTTTCTTTCTTTTCACTCAACGGTGGAGGCTCTCTCATCCACAGAAGCTCCAGAGATTATAGTGGAAGGATGCAACATGTTGTTTCATGGGGCTGAGCTGGAACTAGCTGCTTCCAGTGGAGTTTGAACTTACGTGATTTGAATTTATGTGATGATTTAAACTGGCCTTTGAATTTGGAGAACTCTTTGAATTGTTCTGATGCTGTAGGAAGAGGAAGAAAATGACAATTAAATTTCCATAATATGCCATGGTTTTATTTTTAATCCAGCATTTTTCATTTTACGATACTGGCTGGACTGCAAGATTCTTCCTTGAAGACCTTCAGATGCAAAATCCTCTTCATTTTCCTACCTGTAGTCTCTCTAGGTCAGCAGAACCATGGCAGTTCTCAAGCAATGCAGCAAAGAAGACTCACTCCAGCTCCAGGAGCCAAATCAATTCACTGCAAAATGTCAGTATCTGCTAAATCTGACTAATACAGTGGGTACCTGCCAATGCTCAGGCATGGCTTTAACCCTACAGAAATAGGCCAGTCTAAGAATGTTATTGACATTTGCAGGTGGTGCCTTGGTGTCTCATGAAAACTGCACATCGTGTTTCATCCAGGTGGCTCTCTTCTTTATTATCTTGCTTTCCTGTCACAACTACCTCCCTCAAAATGTGCATTTTCCTTTTTATTTTTTAAACACACAAATCAAGGATTTTCACGAGGAGCTTCTTAAAACCATGGAACAGTTTCAAAAGGCATTTCAGCATAGCACTGAAAAACAGGTTGGGTAAGAAGTTTTCAACTGCTGGAAACAAAACTCATGAGCAACACTGGTGGAAAAAAAAATCACACAAGGTAGATGAAAAACTTGAGATGTGGAAGAAAATGTGAGAGCCAGCCCTCTCTAAGATGAACTGCCCTTCTCCTAGCATAAATATCACCAGAACAAGGCTGTGAAAACAGGCATCTACAGGAGTTTTCCTGGTCTTAGTCATAAAAGATCTCACCTGTCTCTTAAATATTCTCTGCAGCAATCCTTTCTTGGGTGGCTCTGGGGGGTAGCTTTTGTTTAGGTCTGGTGAAATAGTACCATTTGGTCCAAACACATTCAGCTCCTTGAAGCACTCTGTTTCTATCATCTAGTGGAATATAGTGAGAGAGAGAGAGAGGAAAAAAAAAGGGAATTATTCATCTGCACTAAATAAATTCCAGTAGTGCTAGGTTCTTCAAAGTCAGCAGTGTGTGAGGAGAGTTAACAGTTGATTCCTGCTGGTGTATTTGAGGGCAAACAGAGAGTATGAAAAGCAGAGGCTGAGTCTGCTCTGTGTGTTTGCACATCAGGCTTGTCAGAAGCTGCCCCACAAGACTTTCTGTTCTTTCCTCCAGCATTGCAGAGAATACCAAGCAAAGACAGGCACACTTACAAAATCCCAGTTATTAGCAGCCCTCTGCCCAAGTGGATCTGCTGTTTGATGCAGAGCTGGATTCTGAAATCCACTGTTGGCTGTGCTTTGATACCAAGCAGAAACAAAGACCCAGACATGGAAATGCTGGAGGAGCTCAGGGTCCAGAGTGAGCTGCTGCAGCTGGGGCTGACTGCAGACAATGGGTGACAGCAGGGTCACCAGAGGAGGATCCTTAAGGATTTCCAGCTGAGCCACAGAAGGGGCTGAGAGCTCGAAACACCTCTGTAGAAATCCAGGAGGAGGAAGTACAGTAGGATCCTCGCCAATTCACACAAACACACAGAGCCAACAGATACAGTCACCTGAACCTGACATCTGTGGTGCATTACAGACCTTGAAAGAGGCCATTTGTAACTCATGAAAGCATTAGAGTCTGGCAAGTTGTCCAGTAGCTATATATTACTGGAACATAGAGCTCCTCTTAAATTGTCTGTGTTACGGGGTTTATTGCAGTAATTTTGCTATGATACATCCTTACCTCATTTTGCCATGGAATAGACACTGATCCTGTGGAAAACTTGGAATAGAAATCGTCATCTGTTTGGTCCAGGTTAACTCCTTTCACTGTGGAGAACTGCTCAATGTCTAACACATCCTTGCAGTACACTGCTCTGGGCTATGTCAGCAGGAAAAAAAAGGAGAAATGACAAGAGGAAAAATATTTCTGAGTCGGACCATGTGCTTTCATTCACAGATTCAGTCAAGTGAGAATGTCTAACAAGTGTGTGTCTGCATCCTCCTTCTCCAGGCTTGCTCTGCCTGCATGTTTATCATCAAAGGCTGACTTCACTTTAAGCACATTAAGCTTCCTATTCCAAAGTCCTCAAAGCATCAGTCAAAGTGGGTTTTAGTCATCCATGTACCATCTGGTTAAGAGGTGAGGGGAGAAGGACAGAAAGAGCCAGAAAAGAAAAATGGAACCCTTCAGCAGTCTTTTCCTTTAGAGAGGGAACAACAGAAAACCAGAATGTTTACCAGTGGCACACTGGAGAGAGCCCTGGAAAGAGGCCTCAGATAGAAGTGCCCTCCTGCCCAGATAGCTGTGGAGTTTGCAGCTTGGAAGTTTAAAGGAATGCATCCTAATTGCTAAAGAAAACAGAGGAGGTTTGGCATTTTTCCATTGTTTTTATTAATAGCTCAGCTGCTGGAAGCTGCCCAGAATTACCTCTATTAACTCTTTTAACTTGGCTGCATTTCTTCAAAGGAACAGTCAAATGGCTTTGCCTTTTTGAACTATACAGTTTTCTGGGATGACAGAGACAAAACTCTCTGCAGTGATGGAACTCTCATCTCGTCCTCCAGCAGCCAGCCCCAGGGAGCAGAAAGAGCCATCAGTGGCTGCCTGTCACAGGCAGTGTGTGTGCCCAGAGATCTGCCACCACCAGCACAGCCACCCTTTGCCGTGCAGGGATAACTGAGGGGTGGCCTGTGGGACCAGCCTGAACCCCAGCCCGTGTGGAATCCTGCTGTCTGTCCCTGGTTCCAGGACTGCACAGCCAGGGGTCCAACGTTATTGATCTGGATCTGAGCACTGTGACCAAACAAATTGACCTAATTCCTGACAGAAGTCCTGTTTGCTGAAGGCTGCATCCCTCTGCATTCCTGACAGCTGCAATCCAATTTTTGTAGAAGAGGATGGAGAGACATGGTTTGGAAAACAACTTCTGCCATTGGCTATTTAGCTTTGGTGATTCAGCTGACTTCAGTAAAGACTGGGAGATCTACGGATGAAGTGCCAAATAAATTAAATTAGGGGCAGCTCTTGAGCTCCCAATAAAGATCCATAAAAATTTATGTGCCTTTGCTTTTGCAAATATGGCTCTAAGAGGTGCCTTCTAGGCCTTACGTGCCACAGTTTTTATGCACTCTGGCGGATCCCAAATTTGAGCCCAGAATTTTATAATTTTCTACATCAGAAAGAAATAGTAGCTTGTCTCCTATTTCTCCCCACTAAAGCAGGTCGTAACACCACGGGCTAATTGGCAGGAATAACTAGGCTGCATAGTAAAATGTAAAGCAAAACCAGAGCAACTAAAGTAAACTTTTGTAGCATTCAAACCACTTTGGTTTGGTTGAGCCTGCAGCAAGGGGAATGGGAGCTGCCAAGATGTTACTTTCTTTAATACGTTAAAATGGCAGTGTTTACTTAGAACCATATGGGGACTTTAAGGATAGAAGCTCCAGCCAGAAAGAGAGCCCTGCAGGAGGGAAATAATCAGATAACTCTGCTCACTGGGCTAGAAACTGATACCACAAAAGGGTGGAAAAAGTTTTGTTGTTGCCAGTGCAACAAAGCCTTTCAGTATGTGTGAGCCTGGTGTGTAAATCTGAGCAAGGACTCAGTGTTGGGTTCTGTACCCCAAAAAGCTCCAAATGCTCTCTAAGGTCCAAGTCACCTTCTCTGCTTGAGGTGACACTTGATGCTGAGCCTGGCTCAGACTCTCTGTAGCAAACGACTGTTCTCGTGATAATCCACAGAGCCCTGGACTTCGTGTTTCTGGTTTCACCTCTATAAACCTGCATGCACACATTTGGCTTTCACTGCTGATTGTCCCAAGCACCACCTGGTTCTGAGCACACTTGTTTTCACAGTAACACCATGGATAAAGGTTCCAGTGCCTCCAGTGCCGTACAGGAATGCTGCGGTAAAAGGAGTGGGAATGGATCAAGCCCCAGATTACATCCACATGCCAACAGAACCTTCTCTCCTCTTCCTCCCAGCCTCCCCACTCCAGCCCCACCACTCATCACACCTTCCTGGGGCAGCTCCCCGTGCAGAGAGTGATGACAGCCCTGAGAGAGAGAGGCTATTTTAGAAACAAACCTCTTAAAAGAGGCCACTGGGGATTCTTGCAATGGTACTTACATCGGGCACGAAGGGAGGGTCCAGCATTCCTGCTTCTAACCGCTTGAAATTCATGCTCTTGAAAAAGGGGTGTCTCTTCACCTCTGCTGCCCCTTCCCCCTGACATCCCAGCCGCTGCTTCACGTCTTTGGTGAGGAGCTGAAACAGAGGAGTGCCAACAGGAACGGTGAGGCTGTCAGAAAAAGCAAAGCTCTACCAAGATATTTTTATCTCCACTTGTTTTTGAATGTGCCCATAGGGATGTACAGAGGGGAGTTGCAACTGCTGTTGCTTAAAAGCTGAAGTTAAATGGATTAGGGTTGCACTGTTCTACATGCTGGTGAAATCCTCAGAAAATCACCTGCTGTAAAGTGTTTACAGTCAAAATAGAGACCATTTCTTTTGCCTGCTTTCGGTGAACACTTTCAAGAGGAGATCTGACATACCCTAGTAACGTATAAAGATGTTACTTTCTTATATGTTACTTACATATAAAGATGCACATTCATAAGTTCCATGTGCTATGTCTCAGTTCTTTTTGTTTTGCCATTTTTTTTTTACATTTGTAAGACTATTTTTCCCTCAAAAGAACAGGTGCTTAGGAAAAATCAAAAATACCAAATTGTATTTCCCTCACCCATTGCACTACATTCCAGAGCATCACATGACACATTGAACCAACCTTTACACTCATGGGCTTATCCCTGCTGAACTCAAGGGGGTTCCCATGCATGGAGCCAGTGCCCAGTAATTATCCTCAGTTCTGCCTTGTTTGTTTTCACAGAAGGGCAGTGCACAGCCTCCACCTGCTACAGCAAGTCCTGCCTGTTTCCTGGGTACCCATGCAGGAGCAATGCCCACCAAGTGAACTCAGCATCTTTGCACTATCAGATGGGCAAGTCCATGAACAGAAACACTGTGATATTTACACGGGAGATTCAACAGGGGAGACTCAACAGCACCTTCCAGTGCAAGAGAGCTGGAGAGGAACCTTGGATAGAGGCATGTCACAAATAGACAAGGGGGAATGGCTCTAAATGAAGGACGGCAGGTTTAGATAGGATATTAGGAAGAAATTCTTCCCTGAGGGTAATGAGGTCCTAGCACAGGTTGCCCAGAGAAGCTGTGGCTGCCCTGGATCCCTGGAAGTGCCCAACTCCAGGTTGGACCCTGGGGCTTGGACAGGGCTTGGAGCAACCTGGGACAGTGGGAGGCGTCCCTGCCCGTGGCAGAGGGTTAGACTGGACAGTGTTAAGGATCCCTCCGAGACAAACCTTCCTGCGGGTGATGCTGAGCGCTCGGGAGGTGCCGCCGGGAGGCAGCAGAGGAAAGGGCAGCGGAGGGAGCGCTGCCCGGGGACGGGGCTGCTCCGGGGCATGGGAGCGCTGCCACCGCTCCTCCGCCGCTGGCCCCGGCTTTATTGGCCCGCAGCCGGGCCAGAAGCAGCGCTCAGCCCTGCCCGGGTGTGCTGTGCTCGGTGATGGCACCGAAAGCATCATCAAAATCCACCGGGGCTCGGCTGCAGGCGGGTCAGGGGCAGGGGCTGGGTTGGGCTCTCTGAGATCCCCGGGACCGTCCCAGCTGCAACTGATGGGATGCAAACACCTTTGGAAAGGTTGGGGAGGAGTCCCGAGCTCTCGGGTGCATCCCTGCAGGAGCAGGAGCGGGAGCCAGGCGGGTTCCACGCTGGGGTAAAGCTGCCTGGGGATGCTGATCGTGTGCCCAGCTCGGGATTTGTGTGCCCAGCTCAGGGTTGTGTGCCCAGCTCAGGGTCTGTGTGCCCAGCTCAGGGCTTGTGTGCCCAGCTCAGGGTTGTGTGCCCAGCTCGGGATTTGTGTGCCCAGCTCAGGGTCTGTGTGCCCAGCTCAGGGTTTGTGTGCCCAGCTTGGGATTTGCGTGCCCAGCTCAGGGCTTGTGTGCCCAGCTCAGGGCTTGTGTGCCCAGATCAGAATTTGTGTGCCCAGCTCAGGGTTTGTGTGCCCAGCTCGGGATTTGTGTGCCCAGCTCAGGGTCTGTGTGCCCAGCTCAGGGTCTGTGTGCCCAGCTCAGGGTCTGTGTGCCCAGCTCAGGGCTTGTGTGCCCAGATCAGAATTTGTGTGCCCAGCTCAGGGTCTGTGTGCCCCAGCACCTTCTGCTTCAGCCACTGAGGCAGCAGCCCAGCTCAGCTGCCTCATCTCACCAACAGGGAATGTGGAAATTGTTGCTAATGTCATGTTGTGCTCTTTCCTCTGGTGCCTGGCTGGAGCTGGGGTTTCTTGTCCTTATCAGGGGTTTACAGCTCTTCAGGCTTTGCTGGGCATTTTTCACTGGGTATTTTTACCACCTGGGCATCGGTGGTTTTCTGGTCTGACTTCCAACAGGCACCTCAGTTCTGTTTCTGTGCTGCTGGGGGCCCCAATTCCAGCCTGAGATGGCAAATGGCTTTGGCAATCCGTGTGCCCCATGGTGCAGAGGCAGCAGCCAAGCCAGAAATGGTGGTGAAGGGGCTTGTAGACTGAAGAGTTTTCTGTTCAGGTCTTTCTGCCCCAGCAGCAGCAATAGCAGGAGATTGAATGGTCAGAGGAATGGGTTTAAAGCCACTGCTGCTGGCCACAGTAGCAATGTTCAGCTTCCAAATAGCAACAGCCCTTTCTTCCCCACACTTTGCCTCTGATGCTGCCAAGCTGGTGACATCTGGGCTGACAGATCACAACTGGCTGATCCATAAATGTGAAAAGACTTGAGGAAACATCTGTATGCCTTGCCATTCCCTGAGCAGGGAGATTCACAAGATACTGAACCACATCCATCTGACTCACTGCAAAAGATCTGTCACAGAGCACTTCTCTGGACTTTGCTTTCCCTGATAGAAGGAAAGAGGGATGCTTTGCTTTCAAATAATTGCATTAGACTTTGAGTTCTCATGGTCCTGAGACTAGGATTTTTGTTGTGAGGAGATTTTTTGGGTTGTTCTTGGGTTTATTAAAATCTCAACAGTTTTATGCTCTCGCCTGTTGAAGATGATTGCTTTGGACTTTCCAGTCGGAATCAGGTTTACTCTATTCCGGTTGGGCAAAGAAATCAAAAATTATTTTAGTCTTTTATTCTCGAGTCAGTAGGGCTTTCCTGACAGTTGTAAAGAAGAATATGAAAGCAGAAAGGCCATTTTTAGTACCCATGGCTCTGGTATACTTTTGGAAATGATACCTTGGACCTTAGAGGAACAGCTGAGGAGCAAGTGGTGGTAGGAAGGGATAGATTTGGACCTTCCTGGAGATGATACAGGAGACCTCTGCAGTCTCTGCCCTCAAGTCAGCTCTGAAGGGATGAAAAGGGGGTTATTTCCCATCTCTGCAGTCTGGATTCTGGGCTTAGTGGGGAGACCAGGCTGATCTGTGAATTTGCCCTTGTCAGGCTGTAGGATGTTTGGAGTGTGCGGTCAGAGAAAAGGGTAGCTGAGGACAGAAAAAGCTGCCTGGGGATTCCTGGGTTCCTCCATGACAAACAAGGGAGTATTCAGTAACTTCACATGCAAGAAGGAAGTTTCTGGAGCATGAATGCAGTTGGTTGTGGGTGGCTGGCCACTGCTGGCTGAAAGACACAAAAGGGAACAGGCCACTGGGAATAGGCTGGGACTGAAAGAACAGGGAGAGGAGAGGATTCTCCTGCAAAACCCTGCTGCAGTCTCCTGAGAGTCCCAGGAGAGTCACAATGGAGAAAAATGCTAGAAATCAATGGAACTTGAAAAGCTGTAGATGCAGCCAGCTCTAGAAATGGCAACAGGTGAAACCAGACATTCTTCCTGGCTTCTGTTGTGGATATCACGACATAGCATGGACTAGAATATTTTCCAGAAGGGAGAATCCTTCCTTTCACCAAGGGATTATTATCTTTCACCATTTCCTGCAGCCCCAGAAGCTTTCTGCAATAGTAAACCTGTGCAAGAGCCTGAAATAAGCATCCCATTTGGGAATCTGACATGGAAAAGAAAATGGAGATAACAACAGTATGCTATAAGTCATCTCTACACTTTTGTTTAATTCAGCTTCAAAGGGTTTGTTTAATATGAATAGGGAGCAGAACAAAAGCAACTCCATCAGGCTGATGACAAGCCCTCCTGGGACAGCAGTGCAAGGGACCCTGTCAAATGTAATTGAAATGTAATTCTACATTAGGGCCTGCAGATAATTCACAGTTTCAAATCTGGAGATGGCCTGGGCCACCCAACCATGGATGAAGTTAATGGCAAACAGCAGAGCTGTGAGTTCTGGTAAAAAAGGCTCCACTGGACATTTAGGGTTTAGTCTCCAGAGTTCATGGGCAGAGCATGACTAGAAGAGGACTTTCAAAGAGAGTTTTGAGTAGCAGCAGTAAAGTTCCGTCAAGATCTTGATACAAAGAGCTCTCTGATACTTTCATGTCACTCATTTGATCCCCACTGGGGATTCAAACTCTGCAATGTCTGAGACTTTTTTTCCATGACTTTGTTTTGCTTCCTTTACAAAAAGAAACAACTGTTGTGAAGATTGCTAAAAAAGCCAAAAGTCCCCAAAGCACTGTTTTATCTTCATGTGATCAGTCAGTTCATCTCCAGACCATACCATGTAATAAATAATTCCAAGTTCTAAGATGTCGGTCCTAAAATTATAGGAGCAAGGAAAACAAAAAAATTGCCACTCATGAAAGGAGACAAGGGGAATGCTAAAACCATTCCTATTGACCCAGCAGATCAAGCAGTTTGAGGAATCACCTAGCTAAAGTTCAGTCCTGACACTGAAGTAAACATATTATTTTAAGCAATATTTAGAGAACAGAAAAGCAAGACTGTGGTCAATTACTAAATGAGAGCAGAGAGATGAAGGAGCAGTTATTCTTGGGCACTGCTAAACTTTAAGGTGTCATAATGCTGGTTTCCTTGGGATGAAAGCAGAAAGGAGGGATGGCAGCAGCCAGGAGTAGCTGTATGACAGAGCTCCTGATGGTAAGTGAGGAAAAAATTGCTTTTAAGGAAAACAGAACCTGTTATCTTTTAGCTGGTTGAGGTGGCACTTTGAAAAGGGAATGGAGATCAGAAACATGGAACAGCTGAGGCTGGAAGCCACATCTGGACATGGTCTAGTCCAAACCCTCTAGTCCCTGTCCTAATTCAAAGCAGAGGTTCCTGGAGCAGGTTGTTCCAGACGTTGTCTGGTTGGGCTTTGGATATCTCCAGGTGTGGAGACTGCACAGCCTCTCTGGGCAACCTGTTCCACTTTTGGCTACCCTCACCATGGAAAAATGTGTCCTAATGTTCAGAGGGAGCAGAACAGCTCCTGTGCCTCAGTTTGTTTCCCTTGCTTCCTGTCCTGTTACGGACACCAAACCAAGAGTTTGGCTCTGTCTCCTTTACACCATCCCACCAGAGACCCCTTGTGCAGGGTAAAATGGGGGCTGCAGGGATAAAGGGCACCAGGGAGGGCAAGTCTGTGGGAAATGCAGACAAGCAGGGCACTGACAGAGTGACAGGAGCACAGCAATGAGGGCCCATCCAACACTGCTGACTTGAATGCGCTTCAAGTCACATCTCTGGATGCATGACTGCACTTGTCAGGGAAAACAGGCATGAACATCATGGAGTATGAGGCATAACCACAACAAACACGGAGCATTTCCTAGAAAGACTGGATTTTTTTCACAGAAAAAACACACCAGGAGCAGCTATGTTATATGGGAACTATGGGTTGGGGAGCTTCCCAGAAAGCCAGCTGCCCCTGTTCCTAATTATTTGTTATTCATCTTTGTTTCAGTCCAAAATGAGGTCTGATTTATGGGAAATAACTTACAAAATGAAACATGGAAATATGGGATGGATGATGATTAATGGGAGCTATGATATGTGCCTGCAAAAATGCAAAAGGGCACAAACATCCAGGAGGGGAAGGCTGACGTGGGGTGACACCAGAGGGTTTTCCTATGAGTAAAGAACAAGGACAATGTATTTCCTGGTGGTGATGCTATTAGCTCATGAAGTAAGCTCTGAAGAGAAGGCTGGGCAACATGGTGGGAAACATTTCCTCACTCCTGCCCTGAAGAGTCCACCACGGGAAAGCCTTTTGTGCTGGATCTTCAAGAAGGCTCAAGTTTCATTTATGTCTTGCAACTTTTTGCTTAATTTTGCAGACATGATGGGTACTTTATGACTCTTTTGTTTCCTTGTTAAGATGCTGATGGAAAGCAACAAAGTTCTGGCCTTCAATATAAAAAGCAAAAAGAAATGGAGAAAATATGTTTGAATGATGGATTTTAAAATAAAAAACATCACTTGATAAAATAAATTACTTTTGAGTGGGAAACCACAAAGGCCATCACAGTCAGTATCAGGACTCAGACTCTTCCTGCCTCAAGATTCTAATGCTCAGACAAGGAAAGCTTATCTTTTGATCTATCAATAGTTTGCACAAACCACCTCAATAAACATGCCACATGATTGGACAGGCAAGCAGTAGTGATCAAGATTTCAGGAATAATTTATATAAAGTCCAAGCCTCCCTGAGGCAAGAGAAAGAGCTAGATGATCTCCTGAGGTCCCGACTCCCTGAAACCAGAGTCTCCATGGCTGGAAGATGAAAATGACCACTACAGTGTCATGCCTGTCTGCTGCCCTGGGAGTGTGGTAGGATATCTACAGCACTATCCCATCAATGCTACATTTAATTCTTCTCAGCTTTAAGTTCTCATGGTTATTTTCAAAGTGTATGTTCATTCTGTTATGCAAGGGAAATAGAGTAACAAGAGGGGTTCTACAGGTATGCCAGCCAGAAAAGGGGGGTTGGACAATGTGATCTTTAAAGGTCCCTTTCAACCCAAACTATCCTGATTCTGTGCCTCAAGCAGCAAGGTAAAATGTTTGCCTCACATCTCCATTTCAGATTAACAGCAGGACACACACACAAATTCCCTGCCACTCCAGCAGACTCTGCTGCTCACCAGGTGAGGGCTGAGATGCTGCCTGAGGAGAGAGGGCAGCCAGCTGGGGAACATGGGATGGTCTGTGAGAGCCCATGGCTGCCCCACTCCTCCCATGCCAGCTTCACTGGGGGCTCTGCATCACCACTTAAGGGCAGTGAAGGGCCCAGAGCACCTCTCAAGAGTGATGTCAGTTAAATACCACCCCGAGGACTCAGGAGTGACTCGGTGCACTGTGAGTTAATGACTTCCAGGCATGACTCTTGGCAGTGCTACCATTATTATTTTGCAAGGAGACTTCAGTGTCTCTTCATGCAGCCAGCCAACCAGGGTGTTGTGGATCTGCTCTTTGCTCGCCTGTTGCACAAGACATTGGTGAAACCCTCCCTACCTATTTGTTGACCTTTCCTCCCCTCCGTTCTCCCTCCACCAGCAAACACAGATAGGTCATTGTCTCCAAAGGAGACTTCACTCCTTAGCAAACAACACCCAGAAAAAGGCCACATCCTTTTCCAAATTACAATTCAGCCTTCTAAAGATGGATGTCAATAAGACATTGATGAATTCAGACGCAGCTTTGAGATTTCTCAGAGGGATTGAGGATTTCCATTGTCACACATGGCTATTGTGCTACGAAAATGACTCCCAGCTGAAGGAGTGAGAAAACATTTTGAAGAACAGCTCCACAGTATTAAGAAAAGCTGGATACCCTGACACCCCAGGGGAAAAGCTGCTAACAAAGTTAGTGAGATGGGCTGGGACAACATTTGAGTGTCACAATAATTTCATTGCATAATCTTTGTCCTGCTTACCCCCAGCTCTCACCAAAGACAATGGAAGCATGGGGTTTGCAGTTCCTTGCAGGAGACAATCAGATTCCTGCATCATCGAGTCCTTTTTCTTTTTTTCTACAAGTTTATAAAAGACAGAGATGCATTCTTGACTGCAAACTAACATTCAAAGTCTCATGAGAATAGATACCGCTCCCTCGGCCATAAAACTTTGGCGAGGGCTCGGGATGACCGTGATGAATCTCACGGAGAAACAAGCCCAAACAAACAGAGTTTGAATGAATAGAGAGTGCAGTCATCCCATCCACAGATGAGCTTGGTTAGTCCTTGTTTCTGCAGCCCCTCCATGGCCCCCTGTTACTGCTCAGACCATGTCAGACACAGCTGGTTAGTGAAGCTGCCCCACTGAGCCTTCCAGCCCCTTACCATTTTACAGATGGACTTGGCCTCCTCAGAGAACTTATGGGAGTACACCTCCTCTGTCTCCAGCACTCTTCTGTCCACTTCTTCCCTCTTCACCTTCTCTTTCCTTCCACGGAACGGCGATTGCCCAGCAATCATTTCATAAATGAGACAGCCTAACCCCCAGTAGTCAGGGCTGAGTGTGTATCTCTGGTTGTTCAGCACCTCTGGAGCTGTGGAGGAGAGTGACATGCCTTGTGGAAATGCTTGGTATTTACACAGGCAGAGCACTTAAATGCCTCGAAGTTTCATTTTGGTGACTGAATACACATGCACAGAGAATGGTGGGTAAAATACAGAAATACCTCCTGACTGCAGTTGAGGGCATTACAGGAGATGCAGCATGCTACATGCCATGGTGTTCTCTCTACATGCTACATGCCTCATGCATGCTGTCTTCTGACTTCTCTACCAACTCAGTCCAATTAAAATTAAAAAAAAAAATCACGAAAGAAGTTGGGTCTAAATATTAAGCAGAGACCTAATTTCAAGAGTTCCTCCAGATTTCTCCACTTAGGGAAGAAAGGAAATGCAAACACACATCCTGTAAACAGCCGTGACATTTCTTCAAAAGCAAATTCTGTCTCTTTGGTCAATTCATAGCTTCTCCTCTTTTTCCCCTTTAAAGAAACTCCAATCCATTAATTTTGTGTTGCAACCACAGACAATGCTTTTGGGCAGAGAGTCACTGTCTTGCAGGCACCCTCACCTCCATGCAGGGGTACAAACACACATCCCCACGTGCTCACAAGCACAGAGCCTTGGTGTGCACGCAAACTTACACTGAGATAACAAAATTTAGACATGACAACTGATTTGCTTGCTTTCATTAAAGTCTCCATATGGTGTAACAGTGGCTCACATCAGCTAGTTTCTATTCAGTCAAATAAGCATAAGCAATTTTTACTCCAAGAAAATATGCCCACCCAGAGAATGCATGAAAATAATTACATTGAGTTTAGAAAACAGATCTAATTAAATAAGGGAGTGTAGTTTTTGGGGTTTTTTTTACCAATGTACAAATCTCTACTTGTCCTTTGTGTAGATCCTCCCCTGCACATAGAGGAAAGCTCAAGGTGACCCTGGTCAAGATGACCATAGGTGTGACTTACCCATTTTATCATAACCATACAAATACATTGTAACTCCTATACAAAGCAGCAACTAGAAAGAAACCTTTACTTTGGCACATAACCCTTCTAAGATAAATCTACACTAAAATCACTAGAATCCCACTTGCTGTCTCCCCTTTCCATTTTTTTTTTTCTGATTTAAGGTTACAGACCAGCCTCACTGAGAGCTGTACAGGTCCAGCCTTTCACCCTCCTCCGATTTTCACTATCAGGATTTCTGTAGGAGTTGCTGCATGAAACTGGACCCAGCTGAATGTGAATATTTTTTATTCTTTTTCTTAAGCTTTCTTGGCAGAAAAATCTCTAAAACTCAAGTAACCTTGGTAAATTTTTAAAAAGATGAGCTGTGGAAGACTTACCCATATACCCTACTGTTCCTACTCTTCCACGGATTGATTCACCCTCGGGGATTTTAACAGCTAGACCCAAATCAGATATTCTAATATGGCCTGGAAGGAAAAAAAGAAACAAAACAACGCAAAGCAGATATGATAACCTGACCCAAATTAGTCCAAAACCCACAACTGTGGTCATTGTTAAACTACTCCTGCAATTTACTGCTCAGACATTTTAGGAAAAGAGTGTTCTGAATCACTGAATTGGAGCAGTTTCATTGATTTGGAAAAGAGGAATTATTAAGGGCCCTACAACACAGTGAAATAAATGTTAACAGTAAGGCTGTGGACTGCAGTGAATTGCATCAGGTATTTTAAAACCAATGAAAAAAGGCAGTGAGAAGCATGCTGTGGGGAAGTATCTTGAACTGATCACAGAGGATGGATGGGCTGACACAATTCTGTAACTCTGTGATGGCTGAGGAGGCCACATCTGGTCTGCAAGTCAGCACGAGATTCGATTATCGCTGCCTCCAGCAACGAATGGGTGCCTGGGTTTGCATAAAACCAGACCTGGCTCAGCAGAGGGTGAAAGTACTTTCAAAAATGGAGAGGGAAGCACAGATTTAGAAATTAGAGAAATTAGAACTCCCTTTGTGTTGCACCAGCCTTGCAACAAGGATGGAAACCAGCGAGGGAAGGCAGAGAGCCCCAGCAATGCCGAGCTCTGGAGAACAGCCCCTGCTGAGGGCACGGCTGCTTCCCTCCATCTGTGCAGAGAGCTCCAGCAGCTCAGCCACCCCAGGACAGGAATATCAGTGTATGCTGAGCCTCTTAATCACTTCAGAGCATTATTTGTCTTTGTGCAATATATATCCTGAAACTAACTTAATCTACTTTACTGTGAAAGCATCTCTGTAAAGCTCCGAGACTTACCATAATCATCCAGCAGGATATTTTCTGGCTTCAGATCTCTGGAAATGAAAGATAGCAGTTATGGGTATGAAGCTGGTTTTGATAACATAACCATACAACTGTGTGAGGGCATTTATTACTTGTAATAAACCAATTGAGTGTCAACTCAAACAGCAAGGAACTCCTGAAACCAATGCAACCTTTTACAACTCACTTCACAGATAGACTGAAACCATATGTCTTTTTCTAAACTGGAGTTACAATTTTTCACTAAGCCAAGCTTTTAGTTCCTAATCTACCCTATAATGGACTCATCCATCTAGTCCTGTAAGCCCTGTAAACGAACCCCTATAGTCCTGTGTGTTGTAAAATCTAACATTTTCTGTTATAAAATTTTATGTTAAAAAATAGGTTTTAAAATCCTTTCTTTACATATGAAAATGGAAATAGCAATCTGCTGGGCTCTAATTTTCTATGTCTGGCATCTGAGTAAGACTAAATATGTGAATGTGTGTCCATGCACTTGCACACATGTGCAATGATTTTGTTGAGTTTGGAAAATGCAGGGCAGAGGGGGGAATGCTGTGCCCAGATTAAGATTATTCTTACAAGCATTTGTGAAACCCTAGTGCCTGTGTGGTTTGGAGCAATGCCATGAAAATGGGCAAGGTGGTCAATCTGATGTCAAAGATGTGCCTTTCACTGCTCCTGAAAAAAAGAAAACAAAAAATCCCCAGATCTGGGCAAAGTATAAACTTCTGAAGTAAATAATCTCAGTTTTCATATATTTAGCAGAGCCTGGGCAGATCATTCTTCTGAAAAGTTTGTCTGCACAAAACCTCCTCCACCAGCTGCTGCTTTGAGATGCTTCCCAGCCCAGCCACGCTGTCCCCTCCTTGCCCAAGGCTGTTTTCCAAACCTTTCCTCTGCAGCTGCTGCTGAGGTGGGAGCCAGGCAGGCTCCTTCCCATCCTGCTCGTGCAGAGGGGAAAGGAGCCAGCCCGAGAGATGGGACCAGAGGTGCCAGAGGAAGGAGCTGGACATGCTGGGCAGGGAGTGTCCCAGCAGTGCCCCAGGACTGGGCTGTGCTGGTCTCAGCCTGAATGAGGCACCAGCAGCTGGGTGAGGCAGGGAGAACAGCATTGCTTCAATTCACCACATCATGCCCTGGCTTTTATCTAAAGACAGTGCTTAGCCTGGTGCAAATCCAAGCCCTGCTCAGCCTCTTCTTTTTTGTAAGGCCTCCTTGCATCTGTGAACCAGCTTGGGTCTGGGAACTGCCCAGCAAGAGGCATTTCTGTGCAAAGAGCAAAGAGAGGGCATGCACAAGAGAAATCCTTGTGCCAGGGCACAGAGCCTGTGCAGGAACCCACCCCACCTCTCCAGCTGCACCACTCCAGTAATCATGAATTTTCCTGTGTATAAAGAGGGGTATTTTATAGTTTTGACAATGCCAAAGTTGGAATTTTGAAACTTGCCTTGTTTTTATTTATGATTTCAAGCAAGAACACAGAGCTCTGTGAGTAATCTCCTCTTCTTGCTTGCTTCAGACCTTCCTGACCTCCCAGATAAATCTCACCCAGTGCCCAGAGGTACAAGCCTGCTTTTCAAACAAACAATGCTGAAATATGTGAAGGGCAGCTGAATACTGAGGAGAAGCTGTGAGTTTGTTTAACATACCACTGTGGGCTTTCCCTGCCAACCAGCAGAAGGTTTCCAATGCTGCAGCAGCATGGTCAAGGGCATCATCTATTTATTTTTGAAAATAGGTTCTGAATCCTGTAAGAATCATTCCCTTGAAGAACTCAGCCTTCATCAGTTACTTCATCTTCTGCTCAGCAGTTATTAGTCCCACATAAAACTGCAACTGGGGGCCAGTGACAAGAATCTTATGTGCAACTTGGGAAATTGTTGTCTTTGAATAAGAAAATGGGAGACTCCACAAGGACTCTGAGAACACCAGTTCAGTTCTTAGGGTCCTCTGTGATTCAGGGCAATTAGAGGAAGCTTTCCTCCCCTCCCAGGCATCAGCTGTCATTCCTGTTTTCAGGCTTCTGGTTCCTCAAGATCAAGGCTGGCTTCCTTTGCATGGCCAGCACTTCCAAGGGTTTATGACTGAAATGTCCAGGAGAAATAAAACTCCCTGTTGGACACACTGACACATAAAGCTACTTCCCAAAGGCTCTGCTTCCCATTTGTAAATTAGCCTTGCCCAAACATACTGAAACATAAACTGCTGGCACTGTGCCCATGCTCAAAAGGCAATTGTTTGGCTGTGCAGGACAGCCTAAACAACTCAATTAATCACTTTGCACAAGGCTTTACCATGTATTTGTGCAATGCCTGGGACAATGTGAGCTTGGTGCTGACTGGAGCTTCCAGGCATGGCTATGGTATAAATTTTAAAAAATTACATACATACAAAATATTTATATAAACAAAAAAGTTTACATACATACATACATACATATATATATATATATATATATACATATATATATATAATAAAAATACAAATACATAATATAAATTATGAAATATAAATGAATAAAAATGAATTATATATATATATAAATAATTTGAGTAGAACCAGCAGCTTTTTACATTTGCTTTCCACGAACAACCAACCCATTGACCTTTACTAACATGCTGCAGTTGAGAGATGTAGCACAAGTGCCATGTTTGACAAGGGAATTCTGAATGAGATAAATCTGACTCTGAGCCTGGTTGTTCTCCCAGGTCACGTCTGCAGCGTGCGTCAGCAGCGGCCCAGGAGATGGGGATGCATTTTCCAAAGCTGTGATTTACTCAGGAGCATTTTGTTTAAAGAAAATGAAATTAAGTCTGAAGAAGAAGTGTTTTGTGATGAATTATTCGCCTTGAGAAGGCAGTGGCATTTAGCTGCTATTTTTTATTGACCTATATAGCACTTCTCACGGGTCCCACAACACGCTGCGCTGTTACAAATGAGGGGTCTCTGCAGATGCTCCTGACATACTGCTAGAAAATGTCACCTACAAGGATGTAGTATCATTCATCACCAAAATGAATGTGCCATCTGAGGTGTAAAGTAGCAGCTCTTTTAAGAGTAGCATGAAAACTCCTGCTTAAGGAAGTAGGTGCCATTTCTCTCAGAGCCATGCACTATTTTATGCGGCCAGATCTGATTTGTTCTATTAGAAAATGGAATTAGTATGGCATTTTACCAGCCATGTTATGAATGCACCAGTCATTTTTTTTTCAATAAAATATGATTGTGAAACACTACACTACCTCCTAAAATGTTTGAAAATGTGGTAGGAGGTTTTCTAAGGGAAAAGGAAGCCAGACGCTTCACTTATGATTTGATTTTTCAATTGACGTTAGACATTTAGTACCATTTTGTTCCCTGGGGAAAGAAAAAACTTCCTTCTTGGGTGAGCACCAACTAAATCAGCATGTTATCTGTCTGGCCTCTGTGTGCCAGCTAGCAAGATGCAAGGCAACCAAGTGTCAGTTTCTCAGAGATCCCCAAGGAACAAAAATATTGCAATTTCTATGCATACAAGCACATGCATCACATGTATTACACCCAGGCATATAAAATGATTTAAAGTGTGGCTTGGCTTTTAAAAATAGCATCTTATTGTCTATTAATCATTGTCCTTGGAAGTTCTTTCATCAATTTACAGGCCCTCTTTGCTGTGAATGCCAGCAATGATGATTTCACAAGCGGGGATGATGAAGACAAACAAGAACCGTTGTTTACAACTACAGTGGCTGTTGATTAAAAAAAATAAATCCTCATGGAGTCACAAGAACTCTGTCTGCAATCTGCTTGCTTATCCAGCCTGCCCTGAAAAAGCACTTGTGTAGAGCTGGAAGCCAAAGTGGAAGCTGAGAACTTGGGATCTGCCCTCCTGGAAGCGGCGGCGCCGGGCAGCGCTGTGCCCGCTGGCTGCACCCAGGGATGGTGGGATGCTGCCAGCAGGATGCTCTGTGGTGTGCCTGGGAATGGGCCCCCTTCCATGGCTGGCACGCCAGGATCACCATGATCCCATCCAGCTAATCACACTCACACCAGTGGAAATCCATGCCCTCTGTCTCAGACACCCTCTTGGGATTGCAAGCCCTCTGCAATAGAAGTTTTCCCACACCTGACATGCTGCAGCCCCTCGTGCAAAATAATCTAACTAATTAAAATAGAGGCTTGGATGGAATGATCTCCATTTCATCCCAACTAGGAACTCAATTCCTAAATGAAATCCCTTTAAAGGAACTTCCATCATTTTCTTCTGTCATCCAGTGCACACTGAGGTAGGGTTTGGGGAGCTTTGTGCTAGTTCTGGCTAATTTAGACAGGATGTATTTAGGGAAGCAACTGCTTCCTTCCATGATTACTGTATCAGGCTGTATTTATACAGGGCTCTGCAAAATTTCAGCCAAAGCACTCGGGCATCTCAGCTGTGCAGCACCACAATAAGAAGGGAGGAAGCAGACAATTCTTTCCTACCCAGAGAAGACATTCTGAGACTCTAGAGGGTGCTTACCTGTACACAGTATTTTCTCTGTGAAGGTCTTCCAAGCCACAGAGAATCTCTGCTGCATAAAACAAAGCTCTTTCCTCCTCGAAGCCTGGGTTTCCCATGTTGTAGATATGAAACTTCAGGTCACCTCCATTCATTATGGTCAGAACTAAACACAGTGCGTCCTTTGTTTCATAGGCATAGGCTAAATTGACCTAGAAAAACATTTGCAGCACAGTTGTGACAGTTCAGATGACTGCTAAGAAGAAAGAGCTAGCTCTTCATTAAAGATTTTCTCCAGAAAATGAAAAAAAAAATACATTGACTGAATTTGGTAGGGGCTTTCTTACAATGGCAAACACATATTTTAAAAGTACGGAAAAATCAGATGTTAGGATTCTACAGATTAATTTGTGGAATCCAGCCTATTTACCACCAGAAACCCTCAAGGCTCAGATGGTTTCAGAGGCTGGACAAAAATACTAATTCCAGGCATATTTTCCCATGTATGAGAAATCTCAGTAATCAAGGGAATCTACACCTCCTGATGCATCATTTTGCATCCCAGTGAGTTCCCTGGAAGGCCCAGATATCCCAGTCCTGGGGTGATCAAAGGGATCATCACGGAGATGTGAAGGTCAGCATCATCCCTGGGGGCTCTGGTGGGTGCCCAAGGAAAAATCAGACCAGCCAAAATCTACCCATCACTTTTAAATACGTGCCATCCTCTGGCAGAGGCAAGTAAACATGTAAGCAAACACCTTGCATCTGTTGTATACACAGTGTTCCCTGAAATAAGTATACAGAACATGACAGATGCTGAGATAACACCTTTTTTCTTTTTCTAAATCTAAGGCAAGTTTTAAAGGAGGCACAAGAGCTGGTGTGACTCAGGAGAGCCCTGCATCAGGCCAACCAGCTCCACCTCACTGCTTAGATGCTTCTGCAAGCCAGTCTCATCTGATCTGTTTGGGCTGAATCTCCTTCAGTCTCCTCCAAGCACCTCTCTCCCAGACCCTGGGAATTCAGGTGATCACACTGGATAAGAATAGCTCATCCTGATGCAAGCCAAGGCTGTGAAACACATCATGCTCCCATGGCAGGCACTGGCCCCTTGACTGCTGCACTTCTCACAGACCAGAGACTAAAATGAGACTCTGCAAAGGTACCCAGAGCAGGGCTAAGGTGCAAAGCAAAGGGATTCAGCTCCTGGCACCTTTCCAGGAGCAGGAGATGGAGAAGGCACTGGATTCAACCAGAGCAGGTGAGCAGGGAACCACGGAGCTCAAACAATACTCACTACAAACTGACTATTGACTTTCTCTAAAATCTGCTTCTCATTGAGTGCCATGGATTCTCCTTTCCTCTTCTTGATCCTCTTCTTCTCTAACCTCTTGCAGGCGTACATCTTCCCCGTGGCTCGCACTTGGCAGGCGCAGACCTGCAAACGGAGCACAACAATTGTGGGTGATGCAAAGCAAACCCAGCTGTGTCTGGGCTGCACTTCACTCCTCACCATCTCCTCTGGATCAGTCCTTTTAAGGCCAGAGACGGAGGCTTAGTGAGCCAGGCCTAGGCGGGGGCAGCTGGGGGATCAACCACTGTTTCCAAACCTGCTGCGGAATATTGGTTTAATTATTTCACTTTCCTCCGCCTGCTTCCTCTCCCACCTCCTTTTGTCTGTGCAGATTTTAATCTCTCAGTCTGCACCTCCCCTGCCTCTGCTGCCACCTCCAGACACCGGGAAAATACAAATAAGGGTGTGACCCCAATTCCACCGTGAATGCAACAGCCGAACACAAAATAATTCTCCAAAGTGTCCTTTTGAGATTACGGTGTCATGAGGGGTTAAGTAGAACTGTCAGCAATTAATGTAAATCAGCCTCTGTCACATCAGGCTCCTGTACCTGCAGTGTCTAAAAAGTAAGAAACACTCTTAACATAAAATTTCAGAATCACTCACCTCCCCAAAGCCGCCTTTCCCCAGTACCCTGTACTGCCTAAACGTGTTTTTTGTTACTGGTTGCCTGGAAGAAAAGGAAATAAATAAATAAACCCCCTACCACACTATGTTTAATGCACTCTCTGTGATTTATTTATTTCAGAGCATACTTTTGAAAAGCAAAATAGATAAATATTACATAATCCCATTATTTCAAGGTAATCACATTATATAATATAATATATAATTACATAATTACATTACTTCAATACTATGTATGGCTTGAACTTTTCAATTCCAACATATTAAGCTGTAATAAAATATAACACATTAGTGAGTCATCAGTATAATTTCTGCTAGCATCTTAGGACCAAGGAGGGTTCTGAATCTCCATTATACAGCTTTGGCCTTTGTTAAGCAAAGAGGTCCCCAGTAAGATTCCCATTAATTCCTGTGACATATAGGGTGGGCTTACACATTGCTTTGCTTGGCCAGCAAGATGAGAAAAAGAGATCCAAAATTCAAACCACCAGAAAATACTTCTGTTGTGTTAAACAAAAGATGAAACTCATATGAATGAAAGGCAGAAACCGTCCTGGGAGCAGGAGGATTTGTGTGACATTTGCAGGCTGGGAGAGCAGGAAGACAAGATCCAAGCCAGTCCATTCCCTCTGGACTACCTGCTTCCTGGGGGAGCATCATGAGCAAGAAGGGATCAAGAGCAAAATTAAGGTTAAATCAGTCTGTCCTTGAGGGCAGAGAGCTCCCTTGGCATCACTTGACATGATCCCTACACAACCTCCCAGGCTTCCCACAAAATCTACTCCACCAGAACAGCTCCAACCCTACACCAAACTTTTACTTTGCTACTGTAAGAGTTTTATAACACGACAGAAGAAGAATTCCAGGTTCAGCGAGATCCCATTTTGTATCCAGCACCAAGGTTTTACAGGGATCCCAGCAGTGGATATGAACATTCCTGCTCTCCTTGCTCCCCTCTGGCAGGCAGCCAGCCGGCAGAGGGAGCACAGGAACGTGGCTGTTCCCACCACAGGGATGATGAGGTTGATGACAATGAAGAATAAATGCTGAACTGAATCCTTTTATTAATGCCCTTTATTGTTTTCCAAACTAGGGGAAGAATAGAATGCAGACAGTAAAAAAACTAGAAGAGGAAAATATGTTATTTTCAGTATTCCATGAGGCTGCTGCAAATGCTTTTGGGGTTAAAAGCATCAATTAGTAGTGATAGCTACATGTTCAGCAATGTCCCTGGAATAAATGGACTCTGTGACTGCTCCTTTGGAGCTGTTGATCACTCCATGCTACTAACATCTCTTTGCTAATCCTAAAAACAATTCTCCCAGCTTCTTAAGCCAGGCATATCCAATAGCTTGTCACACTTGTTGGGGGAATGGAAAAAAAAATCCTCAAAGCATTGCAGAAAATTCCTTGTCCCTAATGTGAAAACAGATAGGAAATAGCCTGGCTAGAGATGAATCACTCAATGTTTTTTTAATTGAAATGGAAGAGTAAATGCTGGGCTCAGTAAAGATGGCATGTGGAGCATGTCTTGGCATGAAATGGCTCTTCCCTGTGCCCACCCCTCCCGAGCAGCAGCTTTGTAGCTTTCCAGGGAGAGGAACTGGCACAGCTCCTTTGATCTGGAGGCGTCCTGCTGCCACACAGCGCTCACGGATCCGGCCCTGGCTCACCCGCCGTAATTAATGCCATTTGTGCAAAACGGGGCTTCTCCCTGCCCAAGGTCACTGTCACCCAGCAGTGACCGTCTGCTGCAGCACCCCCTGACAAGGGAAAGGCACTTTCCTTGCAAATTAATGCCCACCAAGGCTGCCTGGTTATTAAATGGGATCAGGAATGTCCAGCCAATAAATACAGTGAGAGGACTATACGCCACATTTTCCCTCTCTTTAGAGTGATTTAATAACAGTGGCAACTGGTCCAGACAAAAAGTCACCACATTCAGAAGGCGGCTAAACAGAAAGAGAGCTGAAGTTGCTGAATGTACATTAATCATACCAAATATGTTTAATGTACCTAAGCCCATTAAATGGTCCAACACTTGAGCTGTAGAAGCAAACATTATCTCAACTGTCAGATTTTGAGCATATTCGACAGACTTTGCAAGGAAAGTAAAAATAAACATTTTTATTTATTTGTATTTAAAAAAAAAAAGTGTTGTGACACTTACCTTTCCAACCACTTCCACTGGAGGAACCTGTCGAAGTACATGCTGTTTAGGTACTCTTGGAATGGTTCCCCACTGAGGTGGTCAAGGACAGATCTATCTCAGATGAAAAGGATATATAAGCATTTTATAATCCTGAACTTTGAGCAAAAGAGAAATAAAACAAGAGGAGAAAAGTCCAGAGTTCTTTTACGGTAGGATTACGTTATTCCTACTTTATTTTGCACTTTATTTTGTACTCTATTTTGCTCACTCTTTCAATATAGAAACAAAGTGATGTACTTGATGTATTTCATAACAGGAGGCCTCATACAAGCTGAATACTGGTGATGCTTGCTGAAAATTATCAGGGCAACTCCCACTGGCTTTAATGGACTTTCACAGAGGTTGTTAGCCACCACACAGTGAATGTCTTTGCTTCTGTTAGTAAACTGAAACAACATCCTCAGGAACTGAGCTCCTAAACTTTGAGGGATGTTTACATCTGGATAGAAAATTTCTGGCTGAAGCCCATTTTTATCAAAGAGAGACCATCTGAGGCATCATTTTGAGCAAAAAGATCAGTTTCAATTCCTGCTATATGGAAGAATTAGTACATGTGACTAAAGTCAAAGGGGGTTTCCTAACAGCTATGTGCTTTGTAGAGTAAAACAGAAGAAAGAAAAGTCTGATGGGATGTGGATTTGCTTCTGGACCATGAAAAGAATTTTGGGGCTCACGCAGTGGATGGCGCCTTTTGCATAATGGAAAGAATAAAGGAATAAAAAGGTCAGTCTGCAAATGTGAGAAGAAAGTCTGTTGATTGTGGCAGGCAGCAAACAGCCAGAGAGCATCAGGCATCCCATCAGAAAGGCCAAAGGCTTGGAACTAAGAAAACATGGGCTGAGCTGGGAGCTGGGAGCTGGGAGTTGTCTAAAATGAAGGTGGTCAGGTTGTTCAACAACTGCTGGTGCTGGTTCTTGCTTTGCTTACTGGGGCTCCTGCATCCACCTCTGCTGGCAGCATTGGCAGGACACAAGTTGAGTTTGGGTGAAAAGTGCCCAAAGAGATGAGCATTTCTGTCTGGGTGTATACAGACACATTTGTGTCTGTGTCTAAGGGCATAGAGACACATTTACAGATCTTGCTGGAAGGAGGAAATCCTCTCTGAATGACTGCTCTAGTCTGGGGATGGATAGTCCATGTCTTACCCTGGGGCAGTTCTCTGAGCAAACAAGTCACCATGAGTAATGTGACTCCTCAGCTCAGTTCCTCCCCGTTCATGAGCTAGTATTTTGGGAATTTCTCAGCTGTTACAATATTATTATTTTTTGTAATTCTCGCACCATCAATTTGGAGAAGGCAGGTAATTGCACATGTTCAGTATGCACAAGTGAAATTGTTGCTGTCTTCATTAGCTTTGACTGGACACAGATCATAAGAGTTTCCCTTAACGGATTTACGATTACAAAATGAAATAAAAAGCCTTAATTTACTTTAACAAATGTCCAAATTCAGCATCAGAATTCTAGGTTATGTTGGAGGAGGGCAGGAGCAGACAGTCAAAATATTAAAGCTAAAAGCAGAAGTTACATGCATGCACTTTTCTTGCAGACTGATTTTTATCTATGAAGATGTGAATGGAACTCATCCCATCCCTGCTCCTCCAGGACAGCAGGCTTCATATTTGCATGTATGCCTCCCTTTCCTGGTCTGACTGTGAACCCTTCCAAAATTAACATCATTCAGCACCAGTAAATACCAACAGCAATTTTTTAAAACTTCCTTTTGACCTCATTTTAGTCTGTGTGAGATGATCAGCATATTTATTAACAAGGTCCCAAACCTCGCTCGTTCCTGGGTTTCAGCTGGGATGAAGGAAGGAGCCTGCATTAAGTGGTGCCCAATGCTCGCCCTTTCCATTCAGTTAATTAAAAGCTGCACGTATTTTAAAAGAACAATAGCTGCCTTTCAGCAGTTGTTTGCTTTTTAGTTCTCCTCTTTGGCAACAACAAAGTGAATTTTAGAGGGAACTGTCAGCTTTCAAACCCATTTGAGAGCTGGAAACAGGCACCAGGGGGGTTTGTGTGGAGCACAGCTCTGCCTTTGTCACTGGGACTGGCACCCACAACTGGTGCGAGTCACAGAGCATCTCTACAGGACACCATGCAGGGAAACTGCCTGTGCTACAAGGGAAGGCCAGAAATAACCCACAGCTCCTACCAACTCAAAGAATAACTGGAACCAGAAAAGGTCAATGAAATGAGTCAAAACAATGAATGACAGTGGAGCAGATTTTACAAATCCCCATTACATCACCCAGGGAAAACAAACCGCGCTCAGCCAGAAACCGCACGGGCCTGCGTGCCACGAGCCCTCCTTTTCATATTTTTATTGGTTTATGATCTACTGGCGTGGATGCACTCAGGGCAGGGTTTGCAAAGGCAGATTGCATACCTGGAGCTTTAGCACATAATGGCACAAATGGCTGCAGAAACTGATAAGCCTTTTCCCAGACAAAGGGGGAAATAATGCACGTTGGTTTGAACGCCACGGGCAGACAGAAAGCATTAAAAAAGCCCCGTTCTCCTGGTGAAGATTTTCTGGAAAAGCCATGCAGAGCAAGTTTGCACATTCCTCTGTCTAAATGGACTGTATAGCCACTTAATTTTTATTCACTTTGAAACAGAGATGTTTTCTTTGGATACATTATCATTGTAGCTCTTTTCACACAGCATGAAATCCACGGCTGGCTTACTTGGCTGGAACACTCTGTCAAATACCTGAAACAGTGAGTGCCTGTGTGCACGGTATATAATGGCATGGAAATATTTATTACATTTTTGTTCAGATGAAATGACTTCACCGCTTGTCAGCTCTGCCTCGAGGGGTGTGAGCAAAGATGTGAGCCTCAGGTTCAGGCTGGAGCGTCCCTACCTGCCACATTCCTCACGAGCTGCTGGCTGCAGCCCTGGCATCTCGGGGTGTCGTGTGATACTTACTTTGTACAGGGAGAGAACAGCTCCTTGCAGGGGCTGTTTTCCAGTTTCTCCTCTGTCTGCTGGATAAGTTCTTGACTGACTTCGGGCACATAGGCTGGAGACTGGGGAGAGAAGAGAGGGGCACATTAAATCCCCGGCGAGGTGCAGGTTCTGCTCTCCCAACGTGTGAGAGGCACATTCATTATTTATGCCCCCGAGCTGCTTCCATTCAATTCCAGCGGTTGTGTAAAAGCAAAGGAGCTTTACGTCAAAGAGCAGTAAAATAGGATACCGTGGCAACTCGCTCCACATTCCACTCTATCCTCACATTGCTTTTCTGCCTTCTCCGGTGCTTTCACCTCCTTGCCCAGCCTCATGAATATGCAGGACACACTCCTTGCCAATTCTTTGAACTGCTCCCTTGCATCCCATGAAAAATGTGCTGGCCTGAGCTGTGTACAGCCCATTCTATTAAACAAAAGAGAATTTGCCCAGTATTTTCACTTCATGGGTGATTCATTGTGCTGTCTGAAAAATCCATCTTTTTTGGTTTTTTTGGGTTTTTTTTTCTTTTTTTTTTTTTTAAACCAGCAAAGCAAAACAAGAGCAGAGCATTGGTACTTATTGATACAGATCTACATCTATCTATATAAAAAAGATGTTCACAAAAATATCTGGACACCTGAATTCTGAATTCATCCTTAGACAAAAATATTGCAGTAGCTTTAAAATAATAATTTCAAAAAGGAACTTTGCCAACCAACCACATATACTCTTTTCATCCTCTCCTCCCTTTGGAGAGAATGTATATTCAACCCTGCAGACCTTACCAAAGAGAGGTCTCTTGCAATATGCCTTGATGGTTAACCAGTTTAGGACTCTGGGGACTAATTATCTAAAAAGACAGTGTTTTAGGCAGTTCACATCCTTAGACATTGGCTGTATACTGTAATCATATTAGAAAGTGTATATTTGTGTGTGTGTGTGCACCTATTGATAGGCATTTCTCCCATGTACATGAAAGTCCCTTTATATAACCAATTGGATTTGGGCATTTTCAATAAACTCAGCCATAGATGGTAAAATCCTCTCTCCTTGCAGAAGCCCTAATGCTCAGCAAGGTCCCTCAGTAAGTCCATGCCCACAACCACCAGATGTGCTGAGTGGGTGGGGCACAGAGCATCATCCCTCATTCCTGGCCAGATGTTCCCATTAACTCACCCCTAGTCAGAGATATCTTGGCAAGCCCTGAAATGCATTGCAGGCAGAGTTCAAAAACACTGGGAATGAGGACAGAGGAAAGGGCAGAGGTGGAGCCACAGAAAATCTCCAGCATGTTGAAAGCTGAATTAAGTCTTTTATCTTTTCCTTCCCACTGCTGAAATGTGAATATGATCCTGCTTGTGACATGAAAAAGTAAGTTTGTTCCACTTGAATGTTTTTAAATGGGAACATGGTTTACAGAACTGTCTGTGCACACTGTGCAATGCACTCTCACTGCTCAGCCCTGACAGACAATCTGCAGAACGTGCTGGAGACACCTCTGACCTCACTGAAATGTTTCCTCATTCCCTCAATATATTCCTCCATTTCCTCAGCAAAAGATATCTAGGGAACACTCACTTTTAATCACAGACAGAGTAGATTACTGATAATTAGGAAGTCTCGTGGTTTTTTGAGAGGTAGATCAGCCCCTCATGTTAACATCTAAAAGGTAAAATGAGACAAAGCCAGATTTTGTCAGCTTGATTGACCACTGAGGTAACTATACCTGCCCACAACAAAATCTTAGTCCCAGTATTGGTTCAAGAGGGTAAGTAGAGGCAAGAGGGAGGTAATGAAAGAACTACAAAAAAACCCTCCTGCTTTCCAGTCCTACAGCACTGAAACTCCTGGGGAAAAAGACAGGAAAGCAGATTAAACCAAAAGCTTTTAAAGCAATATTCAGATATGGACAAAAGCCTAATGATTAGCAGTATTTCAGTTGATTTTGGCCAGAAACCAGATGAATGAATACCTTTAATTTACAATTTATGCACTCAGTGGATACACATTTGCACATACATGCTCGCTGGTAGCCCAAAGTTGGTGGCTGTATGAATCCAATGGTCCAAGCCCTGGTTCCAGATGATCATCTCTCTGATTTACAGGGAACAGAAACACCCCTGAACTCCACAGTGTTGGGGCTGCTGTGGACCAGGAGTGTTTTTGATGTGAATGGAGCAGCACTTCAGTAAAATCTGTACCAAGGCCTCTAACTGAAGTTACTGCTGAGCACATCTGGAACTTGTTCTGCCTTTAGAGGTCAAAACAGGAATCCAAAAGCTAAGTACTAAACTGCATAATTAGTCATTTAGACCAAGTGACCTGATTCTTACTCATGCCAGGCAACTTCATCTCCCATTGGGAATTCATTTCCCAGTGGAAGGTAAACTGCCTTGAGGTTAGTGTTGAAGATCATGCCCATGACACATTACTAGAGTAATAATCCCATCAAACTTTGTCTGAGATCAAAGTACACTTAAAAATAAATTATAAGCATCAGCTAACTCTTATTCATAAAGAGGAAATTAAATTCTTGTAGTGAAAGGGGGGAAGAATGAGCAAAAGAAATAGTAAGTAAGACAATGTGGGAAGTATTTACAAATGACACAAACTGTGATTCCTCTCTCCAAGTTTGAGGGAGATACAGTCACCACTTGGTTTTTCAAAACCACTCATTGCTGACCTCTGAGTCTTTACTCCTTCTGCACAACCTTGAGCAAGGTAACAATATCAAGGTAGGCAAAGACATGAACCCACTGAAATCCTGTGCATGGACTAAAGCCTTAGAGTGCAGTGCAAACACTTCCCTAGACCACTCCATTTTATATAACAAGGAACAGAGGTTGTGTTGTTGTTTGGTTTTTGTTTTTTTTCTCCCAAAGGCTGATCATTTCCAAAGCTTCTGTAGACCCAACAAAACGTTTTGTGCTGTTCCACAGCCCTTCACAGAGTTCAGGGCACCACATGCCAGGGAAGAACATACCCAACCCTTCCCAACTCTGCCTGCAGCTCCAGGGAGCCTTTGGAGGATCCTTCCTGAGAATCTCCTTGAGACTTCCCAGTTTCCCACTGCTCCCATTAAACAGCCATGGCTGCCACGTTCCCTGTGTGAATGCTGTGCATACCCACAGCCTTCAGAAGTTCAAACAAAGCCAGAAACAATTACAACCCAAAACTCAACCCACCAACCTACTTTTGCTCCCCTGGAGAACCATTAGGCAGCACAGGTTATGTGTGCAAGAAAGCCTTTGGATCCCAAGAGTGAAAGCTTCCAAAGGTAACACTTTGGCCATTTACAGATGAAAAAGTTGCTTCTTCCCTGGAGAGGTGCAGAAGATTTCTGCAGCCACAATGAAGTGGTTATTAACACCATTCTCCTGCTGCATTATGGGCAATGGCTGTAAAAGCAAATTTGGCTTTTACAAGGGAACAGAGACACCTTTTCCAACATATTAAATGTCCTGTAGCAGCTAGGAGAGTCATACACCCTGATTAAGACCATTACATCTGAGCTTGTGACAAAGAATATTCTGCTAACTCTTCAGAAACACCTGCAGAAACCAGTTACACCTTCTTGCATTCAAAACAAAACACTGGGGAGTTACAAGTATAGTTCCATATTTCCCCTAATGGCTATTCTGTTTCCTGAAGGCAAAGAAGGAGATTCTTGATCTCACTTACAATAATGTAATCAGAAATTATGCCAGTCAAACCAAGTGATTAACACTAGGGTAAAGCTGATGGAACTGAAACCAGATTCCTGGCAGTACAAGATGTGTTGAAGTTGATCCTACAACAAAAATGTCTCCCATCGCATTATTCTTATTGATCAGACATTTTAACAGTAGTCCAAAAGTCCACAATACTTTTACCAGGTTTTAACCAAAATCTCCTACCTCCTGTACCTTCTCTTTTATGGCCAGAAACTGAAAACCTCTCGACAAATATTTTTCTGGCATAGCAATAGCTCTGTTTTATGATACTCTCCCATTTAATTTTTAAGAAAAGAATGCAACTAGGAATTGTGTTAGTGGTTATTTGAGAAACAAGAAATGGATATTCAGTTACTTCTGAGTGCCATTAGCCCACCCTGAGAAAAGTCTCCACTTTTAAAGGTCTTTTTTTCTGTCTTTATAAAAGAGCTCCTCTCAGATGCTCTTCCCTTTCCACTAATGGCATGAGAACAGCTGATACATCTCACATTTGTCAGGGTTAGTTGTGTTCATGCCCACAAAAACTCTGGATGCCAGCAGAGCCCTGTCCAGCAGCAGTGTCTGGTGCTGCCCATGGCCTGGCACCCCACTGGAGTACTGAAGAGTAGCAAGGACTGATTCAGACCAGATGAAAGCTTCCAGGCTCTGTGGCTCCCCATCATCTGTTATTGTGAATGTCATGTTGCATCGCTACACTTTAAAACGTGGCCTCTCCTTTTCTGACAGCTCTGTAAGTTTTGCTACAGGCTATTTCACCCAGACCTCCAAGACCCAGTCTTTGCTGAGTTCACCGAACAGCACAGCCATCAAAAAACCTTCTCCTAAAGTCATCTCTATGTGTTTGCCATGCCACTCACAGCAGCTCTCAGTGCTTCCCCTGTGACTGTGTGGGGGAGATCCGACCTTTTGTTGATCTATCAGCAAATCAAACTCTTTATCAAACAAGCTCAAGTGCTGGCAGTACCAAGGGAGGCATTCAGAAGACCTTCTCTTTTACTTTTTCATGAAGATGTGTCATTTGTTCTAGCTTTTCTTATGAGATAAGATACATTTCCAAACATTTACTCTGCATGACCTCGGTCAAGACGTGGTGCGCTACAGGCGTCGCCTCCACGCCTGTGGGAGTGAAAGCAGGTGGGCAGCAAGCAGAGATTGGCACTTTCAAGGAACAGAAGCATTTTCCTGGCAGCCCAGCAGCTGGGGTTCACACCTGTGGAGCTGGGGTGAGGTGGGAAGGTGTCCCCAGTTATTCCCAGAGCAGATGCACCCACAACACAAACCTGTGTGGGCAGAGCTGGCTCATTGTGTGTAACACTGGTGCCCCTGTGGGACAAGTGCCCAAATGACAAAGTGGACTGAGAGTG